CGTGCGGCACTAGGGAGTGTGGTGGTTTTTGCAATCTGGCACACGATTGCCAGTTATCTACTTTAATTGGCTTGTGTAGTTATGAAACAAAGAGCACAATGGAGTTTAGGACTTGAAAAAGGATTGGTGGAGATACTTCAGGAGCACGATACTCCTTACCACCAAGGACAAAATTGATGGAGCAAGGAAACTTGGAACTTGATGGTGATAAAATTCCATGCCAAACACAAACATGCGAAGTTCTCGAAGCTTCAAATTCAAGACAATCAAATTCAAGACAAGGAGAAGGAGCTCAAAAGGGAATACAAGATGCTAAAAGAAGCTCGAAAGCAAAGCGGTGTCGGCTGGGACGACAAAAGATGCATGATAGAAGCCGACACTGACCTTTTTTGATATCTCGTTGCAACTTGAAGCACTGCAAAGTATAACTAAATAATGCTTCTGCCCCTTTTTCTCAGAAACTTCTCTGGAATATATCTCAGATAATTGTTTCTTTCACATCCAGAGAAATTAAATATGTAATATGTAATATGCATCCATATGACATATATTTTTTGATGATTATAAACTTGTATCTAGTCATCCATATGTAATATCTTAGATAATTGTTTGTTTCTAGATGACTTTCTGATATTTTTTATGTGTTGGAACTTATGAAATCTATTTTTGATCTTTGAATTCTCTCTTTTATATGTAATATGTGCTGGAACATGCTATTTCTTTCAGCAAATCGACAACATATTGAACTTCAGTGTTATGTTCCTGTTTCCTTATCACTATGTATTATCTTTGCCACTTCCGTGGAAATTTTGTACTAGTCCCGTGTAGGAGAAATAATAATCAAATATGCTACTGTACATCACAAGCACTCGAGTTTACCTTCTCATATGTGATGAATAATCATGCCTTTTAGTTGTGGAAACATATTTTTAATTTCTGTATGGTCAACTGGTCTCTGAAACTATCTGGTTCTTGAAGATGACTGACAAGTACCGCATATATCACTATAGTGTCCTTATTGTTTTTGTGCTACCACATACCATTATAACCACCTAAATGTTTCTGGTTGCTAATTGTACTGTCCACCTCTACATTATGCATATGTGCCGGTCTTCGCATATACACTGAAGTTCCTATGGTCCATAAAACTTGTAGTAGTATTTTTGCCTTTTTTTTTCATGTGGGCTCAAGATCATTGCTTTCTTGGAGAGTTATTTTGAGTCTTGGCTCCCACCTTCAAGAACCAGATAGTAGCAAAGGAAAGAGCTGCCACCCCGAGAAGCTAGTTGTGATGAAATTATTTAAGGACCTACTACTCTGTTTATGAAGTGTGCAATTTCCAATATATTTGCACTATTTTATAATATCCATATTCTTCATTATTGTTCATTTGATAGCAAGATGCTAGTTGTGATGGATTGTGTATGGGTTTTAGCAAGTTTTTCTTACTATGATGTTGTCTAAGTTGAAAAGATTGGATTTTTATTTTGCACCATCTGTTATGCTGCTGCTGGTTCGCATCTATTATTGCTTCAGAATGTTGTTGCTACTCTGCCAACCACTAGTCTTGTACCAAACATAGGGAATTATAGAGGTGGGGATTATTGGGAAATTGAGGGGATTTGGTGATCCCCACCCCAACACCAAATCCTCTCTAATCCCTAGCCCGTTGGAGGTGTAAAAACACCAGTGCCGAACAAGGCCTTAGGAAACAATAAACATGTCTTCATGGGAACCGGTTCCTCTAACATCCTCAAGGGATGTCACGTAAGCTACAGTAACTGTGACATGCCTCATTCATATCTATATGGTTAAGACTAAAATGATTATAATTAATTTGTAAATTATAAATCTACTGCATACATTTACAAAAATTATATACAAACAAAATTATGATGAAATAAAATTATTTTTTGTACATGCTACAGTAAATTCGCATAATGTTACTGCAGTAATCCTGACGTCCCTTTACACACGTATTTCACTGTAGTTTCATGACATCCTTGAGGATGTTAGAGGATCCACTTCTGTCTTCGTGGCCGTGGCCGTGGCCGCGCAAAAACCACTGGGCATCGGCGCACGAACGCAGCATCCTCCCCCATCACCACCACCTTCCCAAAGTCCAAACTCCAATCCCCTTGCTCGCCAAACCCCCGTTCCCCAAATACAATCCCTACTCCCACCGCGATTCCCAAATGGTAACGCCGAGCGCCTCCTTTTCCGCCGCGCTCGTAGTCGAGGATTTCCCATCGGTGCGTCTGATTCGCTTCCCTTGAAGGGAGAAGGTTTTCCTTTTTACTTGATTGAATTTGAACTGGATTTCCCTTCTCGTGGTGCCGCGCAGTTGGAGAGCGATGACAAGATGGAGATGCCACTGGTCAAGCACCGCGAGGTGTTCGACCTCGCACAGTGTGGCGCCCGCGCCTTCCGGGAGCGCCGCTTCGACGAGGTAATCCACTAACTTGCCCACTCTCTTCGTCCTGTGTAGCCCGATTGCACCCGACGGTGTCCGATGGTTTGACGGCAGCAGCTTCAGTTATCGGGAGAGGGTGGGAACTGGATTGGGACTGACTAGGGCACGTGCATGTATAAGATGTAACAGGGCTACGGGCGGCTTAGTTTTGTATGTTGATGCACGAGTGCCTGAATTGGTGAATGGTGTGATGCGAACAGAAAATTTAGTGCGGCATGCTGAAATATCTTTTGTAGCAGCACCGTAAAGGAAATACTGTGTTCATGTTAGTTAGTCAATTTTTCGAGAAAACGCTCGCGTTTCATTTCGTTGGAAAGATAGATGAGAGAACAATCCTCCTAGGAGGTGAGTTTTACAATGTCATGAGCCCGATCAATGGACATCCCAGGATGTTGGCAGAACAACCCTAAGCCCCTGGGCTCCTGCCTTTGCCCAACATCGGGCCTCGCCTTTGATCCTATCAACTAGCGAATCGATGGAGGGCGTCGCATTGTCGTAGACACATGCATTCCTGTGCTTCCATATCATCCAGGGAATGAGCAAGGCGATGGAATCGAGGGCCTTTCAATGCGTCGGCGGCATATGCTCCTTCGCCCGCAGCCACCATTCCATGACAGTGGGTTCCTGATCTGGTGCCTGGATCCGCATGCGCAACCAGTCCAGGATTGTATGCCAAGTTTGTCGAGCAAAGGGGCAGGCCAGGAGCAGGTGTTGTATTGTTTCCGTGGCCTGGTCGCAAAGAGACATCTGGGGTGATGCTGCAGTCCGAGCCGCGCAAGCCTTTCTGCCATCCAGCAGCGATCTTGGTTGGCCAACCAGTTGAAGAATTTTACCTGTGGCGGCGCCCAGCTTTTCCAAACCAACTTCCAGGAGGGGCACCGCGTAGATCCCTGGAAAGTGGCCGCATAACATGACTGCGCCGAGTAGATGCCGTTGGCCGTCCACTTCCAGAGCAGCCGGTCTGGCTCGTTCGAGAGGATCGTGCGGTGCACAATCTGCCAAAGCAGTAGGTATTGGCCGATCTCGTGAAGACCGAGGACCCGGCGAGCCCTTCCGCCACCGTTCTCGCTTTAGGTCGCCGTTTGGGGATGCACTGGTAGAGCAGGGGTGCGAGCTCGCGGACCGGCTGCCCATTAATCCAGCAATCCTCCCAAAACAGGGCCGTCGAGCCATTCCCAATGGCTCACATCAGTTTATGATGCTTGCTGATAATGTCAGATTTTTCTTAATTACAGGAATGGTTGATTTAGTAACTAATGAGGCTTGTCTCTTTGGGACATTAGATGTTTGCGGTTTTACATGTTCTAGTCCTTCTATTTTGGACATTCTTGTTGTCATGGAGCCGGTAGGGCACTGCCTCATTCGACTATGATAACTTTCTGTAACTATGGACAAAACCCAGTAAAGGTTTCGACTATTGTTGCTTCACTGCATAAATATTCGAACAATATTAAAACATTGGCTAAAGGGGGAAGAATCCCTTGCTAACTGTCCGTTAGTTAGATATGATATGAGACCACTGTGCAGAAATACCTCTGGATAACACCCCAGCGGAATCCGCTTTGCGCGGACTCAAACACGGGTGGGTGAAACCACCACCGTGGGCTCTAGCCACTGAGCTAGCGCTTAGTTCTCAATATTCGAATAATATTACCTCCTTACCTGACTCAAATGTTAAAATGACATCTAGTTTTATTTATCTTAGCGCTGGCAGTCATTTTTCTTGTCATTTATATCTTTTACTTTTCTGAGATATTCATTGTGAAACGTGCGTATCTCATCCCTTATTCCATTATAGGTAATTAGTAAGGATATCTATTTAGTTACAAAAGAAGGGGAGCCTTGGCGCAGTTGTAAAGCTGCTGCCTTGTGACCATGAGGTCACGGGTTCAAGTCCTGGAAACAGCCTCTTACAGAAATGTAGGGAAAGGCTGCGTACAATAGACCCAAAATGGTCGGACCCTTTCCCTGACCCTGCGCAAGCGGGAGCTACATGCACCGGGCTACCCTTTTTTATCTATTTAGTTACGAAAGATATGGTTCAGTTAGGAAGACAGAGACATGGTTTGTTAGGAAAGTTGAGATTCTATTCTTAGGCTTCAAGTCGAATCTTCCCTATAAAGGGGACACCATGTACCCCATAAGGATTATGGAACAAATGAGAATAAACTAGTAAAGATCTAATCTCCATCCCCCACCTTCCCTCCCTGTCATCCCTGGCACCATGGCCGGCCAAGCTTCCCTCCTTGGAGCTGTACCCCCAACCCTTTCATGTTCATCGGCCTAGGACCGTGACAACTTGGTATCAGACTTACCGATCCTCGGCCAATCCCCACCACCGTTCCCCATTCACTTGCACAAACTTGATTACTCTATCTGTTGACTTCATTGTTTATGATGCTTGATATGGTTCTGTTTCAGGCTATTTCATTTTATTCTAAAGCTCACAATTTGAGATCAGGAGATCCGATTATCCTTAGCAATCGAAGTTCTGCTTTCTGTTTGTAAGTTCCTTCACAATGTTATATTAATGTCATTCTTATGCAATATAGGTAAGCAGTTATGCTACTGCTCAGAAATCCATATTGAAATACTTGGTCTGTATTCATGGCCCTTTCGTGGCTGCTTTTATGGCAGGATAAGTCAAGTTCTGAGGGAGAGATCAGCAGCCGACTCAGAGTACCAGCCATTGAATGGCCTTGATCCTACAACACATGCAGAGGTATGAGTAGCTAAAAAGGTCTTTCTCACCGATGTGAAATTCAGATGTGAAAATTAAGTGAATGTATGGATCATTAATTCTTATTATTTTGTAAGTAAATTTTGCTGCAGTTAGCACTGAAGGATGCAGAGAAGGTAGTAACTACCCACGGTAATTCTCCTAGGCCATATCTTCTCAAGGCATACGCACTTATTCTGGTAACACCCTGAAACTTTACTTTTGTTCTTTTTATATATCTTAGCTTCAGCATTATTTCATGGGGACAACACCAATGCTTATGCCTGGATAGTATAATTCAATTTAGTCGTAACTTTTCACCATCTAGGATAATTTATTGGGATTTGCAGGAGAACTTTGGTTGACTTGGTTGACGTTTTGGTTATTTAGCCTCACACTGTATCTTTACTCATTTAAACTGTTCCATTGATTATACCTCTAGTTTTGCGCTCTTGCAGACTCCCACCACCACCAGTACTTCAAAATTATTTATTCCTGCACTTTATTTTCATTTTCTTTCACATGAGTTGAGTTTAAGATCTGTCCACCTGATCCAAAAATATAAGGTGGTAATTACGCACCAAAATTTGGAAGAACATTGTACGTGCCGCAGTCTGCCAAATTACAATGTACTGGTGGGAATTTGCAAAAGCAGAGAAGACAGAGCACACTATTCTCGCACCATTCGTGCAATTATCTCCTACATATCTGTTTCCATGATATTTTGTTCTACAGATCTGCATTGTAATTATATGCTTTGTAATACAGTTATTTTTCATATTGTCATGACTTACAATATATAAGTTCTAATTTTGTCCAAGCAGAAAGAAGTTCAGTATTCTTACCAGAAATATGCTTCTGTAATGTCATGTTGCTTTATCACTTTATTATGGACAGGCTACCTTTAAGAGGACAATAGCTGATCTGAGAGTCCTTAAGACATAAATTCAACAACTTTTATCAGTCCTCCCTTATTATCATCTGTTGGGGTAACCATTGGATCGTGTTTCCTTGCATATGCAGCTGGAGCGATATCAGGAAGCACGTGAGTCCCTTCTGGCTGGTCTTCAAGTTGATCCCCTCAGGTACGATTGTTGATCCATGGTGATATTCATATTCACTGAATAGGTAGCAGATATTTGATACTGATCCTCTTGCACATTTTGTAATACTCGTTTGCTACATGTATAGCCATATCCTGCAAACCTGCCTCAGTGATCTGGATAGAAATACAAATGCTGCAGCCGGAGCAAGATGCCCAAGGCTAGATAGGACTGATGATTTTGAGTGCACATTGTGTTTTAAACTATTGTTTGAACCAGTTACCACACCATGTGGGCACACGTTCTGTCGCTCTTGTTTACATCAGTCAATGGATCACGGTGAGCTCAGCAAATATTAATGTACTTGATTAGCTGCTTTTGTTAGTTTGAGCTTCACATCATGTGCTACTTTCAATAGGCAATAAGTGCCCCATGTGTCGGACAGTTCTTTTTATTGGTCCAAGAACTTATCCTATAAGGTACTTTTTGTTGTCTTACAAAATTAGATTTATTCATTTGAACCGAAGTTTCGTTTCCCTTTAGGCATTCATTTTTCCCTTGATTTCTCTGATGTCAGTCATGTTTCAATGCCTCAGCGTAACATTGAGCAACATAATTCAGAAAAATTTCCCTGAAGAATATGCTGAGAGGAGGTCAGAACATGAAAATATGACATATGCAGGCATTGATTTGATGCCTCTCTTTGTTATGGATGTCGTATTACCATGCCAAAAGATGGCACTGAACATATTTGAACCTCGCTACAGGCTGATGGTACAACTATTGCAATTTAGTTTTTTTGTTTGTAAGATGCATTTGTTTACAGCTATGCACCTTCTGATTTAATCAACATATCTTACTGCATGGTTGCAAGTTGATATGTAGCTTGCAGGTGTAGCTAAGTAAGATTTATCATATTTTCCCAGAAAGCTTGCTGTACAAAATAGTAGGTTGAATAATCAGAACATTATATTTTCCCTAAATCCTTATTGTAAACTCTTAATGTAAATAAAACAGAAATAAAAAAGATCTTTCTATCCGTCACCTTCTGGTATCAAATCTGTACAAAATTCCAGATGGGTATTTCTTCTTTGTTTACATAGTTGACCATATTGCTATCCATCCATTTGCATGGAGATGTTTTCTCGAATACGCAGGAGAGCTGCCGTATCATTGCACTAAAAAGTCAAAAGTCAAAAGTCAAAATACAACCCCCAACCCCACCCACACACCACTTAATGAGTAAATTACAAGCACGCCACTGACTATTAACGACCTCGACCAAAAAAGCAGAAGCTATAAGGTGGCTACATCAGGCCGCCCTATTAAACACACAATCATTCCTGTGATTCCACAACCTCCATTGAGTTGTAACTTAGCTTATTTGCTATGTTTTAAAACACTGCTAGGATGTGTTTTATCAATATATTCACAACCTTGTTTTTCCCCATTTGAAACAGGTAAGGAGAATAATGGAAGGGAGTCATCGGATGGGAATGGTCAGTTTCAAATCTGAGATATTCTGCTTGCCTAAAGAGTTCATTCATTGACTGATTCTATAATCCAGGTTGCTATTGATTCTGCGACGGGAACTGTAGCTGACTGTGGTTGTGAGGTGGAAATTCTTGAGTGAGTCCAGTTTTCTTCATTTTTTGTCAAAATTCTGCCAACACTTGCGGTCTCACCTGTCTTCATAAATGTGTAGGTGCGAGCCCCTTCCAGATGGACGTTTTTATCTAGAGGTAAATTCATGCTCTGTTTGCAAGATTACCAACCATTTGTGTGCACGCCTTTCTTTTCAAGGTTTATATTACACACATTGACTACCTAGAAAGAACCACCAAAATACAAATAGTGCCAGCCAATACTGCTGCCGTGGCAGCCAAACCGGCGGCAACTAAGGTGCTGCCATGGCAGCCAAGGCAGCAAGTCCACCAAGCCACTTGTACATGGGTCGGACCTGAAGATGTGCACCCTGCTGAACAGGGCCAAGTACAAATACCAGCACGACGAGTAGCAGGAGATTATCCGGTCTTGGACCTGGCGATTCGGCACGACGACTCTATCTTCTACCTCCGGCTCCCTCCCCTGTTCTCCTTTCTTTTTCTTCAAGACATGTATCCGAACTGAATTCCTCTGTAGTTGTGTGAGATTAGTGAATTGTGAGTTGGGATCCTAACATCGTGGTATCAGAGCCTCCCTCCAGCCTTCCGATTCATCTCCAATTTGTCCCCAAATTCACACAAATTTCTGCCCAATTTTTTTTCTAGCACACAATTCTATCCACCACCATGCATCTGGAAGTAAAAGCTTACCTGGACAAGCTTTGTGCGGAGACAAAAGCACGCTACGACGCCTGGGACAAGCAGTTTGAGCTGCGGGCGACCTTGCTCACTCCAGGAGCTCCCCCTCCGCCACTGACGCGCTCGGCCGTCGTGGCCTCCGATGGCGGTCTCTCCATCGGCACCACCATCCCTGTGGTTGTTCCTGACGCCTTCTCCGCCACCACCCATGCCCGAGAGGTCCCTGCGGTCGCCCACGACGCATCCCCAATCTGCATCGAGATAGCGCCCTTCACTTGTACGACGGAGTGCTCGACCCAGATTGACGTTGTCGCCAGCGTCGACGAGGTACACGACACCGCCACCACCGTCCACTCTGAGCTCGGGGTCGATCTCATCCTTCGGGAGATCGAGCAACCCACAACTGCTCATGCGACACCCTCAATCGGCACCGGTGCATCCTCTACCGCCAAGGTCGTCCCTCCCGTGGCGACCACAACCGATGTCGACCCCAGGGCCAGCGTGCAGGAACTGGATGACTCACCATTGCCCTACTTCAACACCTTTCCTCCAACAACGAGCGAGTTGGACTACAACATCGTCCTCTTTGTCTCCAGCAACCTTACTGCACCTCCGCCAACCAAGTGCTCGGCATAATCCCTCACCCATAAGAGCGATTGGGTGATGCCTCTTCTCATTACCAACGATGCCTTTCCTCGGTTGGTTTCCCCAGTGACCAGTGAGGCGTACCACTATGATGTCGTCGACACCATCGACATTGCTGCCCCGAGAAGCACCACCTATTCGACAGGAGGCCTTGACCACGACGAGCGCATGCGTCCATCCTACATTGAGCAACAACAATGGCGCCCCTATTTGAGTGCAGATTGCTGTGAACAACGCTGCCATGTTCCATGGCATAACTCACGACTGCATCTAATGTGATTATGGATATGTGTGGCGGCCACAGGACCGCCAACCAAGGGCGTGGAATGAATTGGCAGAATGGTTATTTCCTACTCCGTATGCTACTGTGGTTGTGCATCTGTTTTTGTGCGTGAAGAACCCAAGTGCTTCGAGCATAGAACTATTAAGCACAAATGGTCTTCACTTCATGCAGTTCAAGTGCCAGATCCAACGGATGAGCCTCTCATTTGCCTTCAAGACGAACAATTGCAGTCTTGGTATTCTCCAGATCGCGCAACACTCTTTTCTCGAGAAAAAGCAAAGGACTTTTGCATTTCTTTGCATTGAAAAGGGTAGGAGTTCAGTTACAAGTGTCCAAGGACGCGTGGATTACATCAAGATCAGTGCACATCCTAGGTTTGTGGTAACACTATCCTAAGGCCAATCGCCCCGGCTTGTGTCCAAGAGCGAGCCTCGTCCTTGAACCTATCGACTAGCGTATGAAGGGAGGGTCTTTCGTTGTCAAAGAAGCAACTATTTCTATGCTTACAGATCATCCAAGGCACAAGCAGCGCGACGGATTTCAGAGCCTTGTGAAGGATCGGCGGTGTGTTCCCCTTGCGTGCAGCCACCTGTCCATAAGAGTAGGCTCCTGGTTGGGTGTTGGGGCAGAGATGCGCAGCCAGGCCAGGACCTCGTGCCAGGCCTGCCGGGCGAGGGGGCAATCTAGCAGCAGGTGGAGAAGCGTTTCCGGTGCTTGGTCACAAAGTAAGCAGCGCGGGTGGTGTTGCAGGCCGTGGCGAGCCAGCAGTTCAGCAGTACAACAGCGGTCCTGGTTGGCTAACCCGTGGAAGAACTTGACTCGTGGCCGTGGCACGCAGCTCTTCCAAACTAGCTTCCAAGAGTAGCAGGTCATCAATCTGTGGAACGTTGTTGTATAGCATGACTGCACCGAGTAGGTGCCACTCGCGAACCACTTCCATATCAGCCTATCAGGGGCGTCGGAGAGCTTGATGCTCTGCATGATCTGCCATAATTGCAGGTACTGCCCGATCTTGTGGATGCAAGGGTGCCGTGGATGTGACGGGCCAGGTGTTGTGATGTAGGGTGGAACCCTAATGGCCGATCTTTCACGAAATGGAGGGGATTTCCCGAAGAACACGATGAACACAAGAGAGGAGAACACTCAAATCAAGGAGATCCAATCACACATGTGCTAAATCCACATACACAAAGGGGAGATACAAGATCCAAAGTCAACAAGGGAGGATACACGGTAGCAAGTTCATCCCAATCCGTGAGGAAAGAGTTCTTGAATCCACTAGGGGGATTCCCTAAGAGGGGTCTTGAATCCACTTGGGGGATCTTCTCCTTTAGGAGGTCTCGGTCTCCAAAGGAGTAGGGATAAGTGGATGAGCAAGGCTCAATCTCATTGTTGAGCTATCACAATGCTAACCCTAAAACGTGGGCAGAGTTGGAGTATATATAGTCTAGGGGTAGGTGGAGTTACATGGGCTTCGGCCCAAGTCATGCACGCAGGCAAGGTCCGGATGATCCGGGTGATCGTCTGGATCATCCGGATGTGTCGTGGAGGCAGCGACTGGTCCGGTCGTCCGGGTCCTGGTCCGGATGTCCTGCTCCGTCCGGATGATCCAGGAGCTGGTTCAGCCGATCTGACTTCGTCGAGGAGGTTGCAGTAGTCTTGGTGCGCGGTAGCCAGATTGTCCGGGCCGGGGTCCGGATCGTCCGGGACTTGGTCCGGATCATCCCGGTAGCTGTTGACTTGCTTGTTTTCTTCTCCGTCTTCATGTTCCTCGTCTCCTTTCGTTCGGCCTTGCTCTTTAGCTTGTCCATTGCTAGTTCCTTGGTGCCCGAGTATGCAAAGTGTCTTTGTTTGAGGTAGTAGCCATGTCTCATGTGTTTCGAAAGGGAATTGCGAGAGGAGAGATGTCACCTCGGTCTCGAGAGCTCTTGCACGTGCACGTGTCATCGGTCCACTTGGCACTTGGAGAGACAAAGGTAGGTCCATGGCCATGGGGATAACCTTAGGATGGTCCGCATCATCTCTCCCCCCCTACCCTTGGGAAAGATCCGACCTCGGATCGAAATCCTCATCACCATGGAAGGGAGATAGGTCCGTGCCGTTGAAGATGTCACTCATGTTGTACTTGTCACGTGGGATGTCGATCTTGTAGGCGTTGTTGTTGTATTGTGCTAGCACCTTGAAGGGTCCGTCGGCTCGAGGTAGTAGCTTGGACTTGCGTTCATTGGGGAAGCGGTCCTTGCGGAGGTGTAGCCACACAAGATCTCCAATGTTGACTATCATGGGTTGTTTGTTGATGTTGAGCTTTGTCACGAGTCATGTACTTGGCGCTCAATCGTTTGCCTTGTATCTTCATGCACCTTCTTGACATAGCTTCCGCGTGCACTCGCGTCCATGTTGATGCGCTCTTGTAGAGTTAGCGGTAGAATGTCCAATGGGGACAATGGATTAAATCCATAAACGACCTCGAAGGGGGACTTGCCAGTAGTAGAGTGTGTTGCTCAATTGTAGGCGTACTCGGCGATGGGCAAGCATTCCTCCCACTTCTTGACGTTTTTCTTTATCAAGACTCGAAGAAGTGTAGATAGCGTCCGGTTGGTGACCTCCTTTTGGCCGTCGGTTTATGGATGGTATGCCGAAGAGAAGAGTAGCTTGATTTCGAGCTTGGCACATAGGGTCTTCCAAAAGTAGCTAAGGAACTTGGCGTTGCGGTTCGAAACAATAGTCTTGGGCACTCCATGTAGACGCAAGATTTCCCTACAAAAGAGATTTGCAACATGTGAAGCATTGTCTATCTTGTTGCATGGAATAAAGTGGCCATTTTAGAGAAACGGTCCACAATAATAAATACCGAATCTTTTCCATTTTGAGTTCTAGGCAAACCAAGCACAAAGTCCATACTAATATCTTCCCATGGGTGGTAGGAATAGGGAGTGACATATAGAGACCATGAGATTGAGCTTTAGACTTAGTTTTGCGACATGTAGAGCATCGGTTGGTGTAGCGGGAGACGTCGCGAAACATATTGGGCCAAAAGTAGTTCTTGGAGAGCGAAGCGAATGTCTTGTCACGTCCAAAGTATCCCATAAGTCCCTCCGCCGTGAGCCTCTTGCAAAAGCAACAAACGAAGAGAAGACTTGGGGATATAGAGTTTGTTAGCTCTCATAAGATAATCGTCCTTGATATAATATCGCTTCCAAGTGTGATGCGTTAGACATTTTGCAAAAGGAATGGCAAATGAAGCATCATGTGCATACAAGTCTTTGATGTGCTCAAATCCTATGACATTCAATTCAAGTTGAGTTACAAGCATGCATTTGCGGGAAAGAGCGTCCACCACAACATTTTCCTTACCCTTGATATACTTGATAACATAAGGAAATGACTCGGATGAACTCACTCCATTTGGCATGTCGCTTATTCAATTTTGTTTGACCTTTAAGGTATTTAAACGTCTCTTGATCCGTATGGATGACAAATTCACGAGGACGAAGATAATGCTCCCAAACAT